TGGGGATAAAATGGGAATGTAAAATGTTTCAAAAATGAATAGTACCCGACGGATTGACTCTTTTATTATAGTAGGGATTAATAGTTATCAGCATAAAATCATTAGAAAATAAGGGAAGAATATCATAATGCTACAGACAGAAATTGCGAGTTCTAATTATTCGACTCTTGTTGTCGATGCGATGTGTTCATTCAAATTTTAATTGAGCTGGTCATTTAGAACAAATCCTCGTGTACAGAGGATTTGTTCAGTACAGGCCACTCGCAAGAGGTCGGGCTCCACATGTATTAAAAAAATTTGTGTGGATCCAACATCATGTGTGTTATCTGTACAATGTCTGTAAAAATTCAACATTAATAAACTACCTAAATTACCCTCTTTTCACGCAAGTAAATTTTCGTCTCTCCCTTGTCCTAATCAATTGGAACCCTTCAACCCTAAATTCATCTCTTGCCTCTTAAAGTCGAAGTCGACAATCCCTTCGTCCCGATTAGTCGAAACCCTTCAATGCTCAAGAATGGTGGACGGCGAAGAAAACGACGAGTTCTATCTCCGGTACTATGTGGGCCACAAAGGAAAATTCGGGCATGAATTCTTGAAGTTCGAGTGAAAGAGGAGGATCAGGAGGTTGAGTGAAAGAGCAGGATCAGGAGGTTGAGTTGAATCTTGGACTGTCATTGGGAGGGAGATTTGGTGTGGACAAGAGTTCTAATAAGTTAGCGAGGTCTTCTTCTGTAGCAGAGTGTTTACCGGTGGTGAGAGATGATAATGATGTGGTGGCACCACCATTGGTGGCTTATACAGGCCTGTTGAGGACCTCTTTACTGCCCGCAGAGATAGAGGAGGAATGGAGGAAGATAAAGCAATTGCAGACCTTGAGGAGAATGGAGGCTAAGAGGAGGAGGTCGGAGAAGTAGAGGAATTTAAAGAGTGATAAAGGAGGAGGTCGTGGTGGTGGAAATTTAAGTCTGGATGAGAAAAAGGAAATTGAGGTGAATCTGAGAGAGAGATTGGAGAGAGAGAGGTCTTTGGCCGCGGTAATGAGGTCAGGTTTGCCATTCCATTTGTCCACGTGGCCTGCCACCACTACTGATCAGGCCATTCAAGGTGGGATTGATGAGGCAATGGTCCAAAGGAAGGGGAAGAATTTGAGAGGTGCTGGTGGGATGCAAAAGTCAATGGAATCAAAAGGAGGGAGTTCTTCGAGTATGTCTGAATTCGACACTAAAGCTTTTGGAGGTATTTCAATTTCTATATTTTCATGTCCTGCTGAAATTTATGTTCAATGTTGTTTATAAATTGAAAAATCATTTACTTAATGTTAGGCTCCTTCAAATGAGTCAATGAAGCAATTAAAGATTCCTGAATCACAGTTGATTTTCATTTTTATCTTGCACATGACCTTTGAGCACATGTAAGGCACAGTCGGGTGATGGTCTATTTTACCAAAGATCATTGTTGACTAGGCTTTTTGACCAAATCCCCCTATTTTAAGCATGTACGGTGATGTGCGCGCGGCACAGCTTGACAAGATTTTTAGACGGTTTTTATCATTAAGATCATGGATGCCAAAAAAAAAAAAAGAAAAAAGAAATGTCGGAGACAGTGCTGTCAAAAAAAAGGGGTAAAGAATAGGTACCATATCTGAAATTTTCACTAATCCATTTTATCGAACCTTAACTGATGACTAAGAATATGAGGAAATTAC